CCCAGAAGTCCCAATGAGAGTAGGCTTTGGTCAAGGTGACCGGAGCTACTTCAGCCTGAGGGTAGACGGAGGGTTTGGAGGGCAAACCTCCTAGCCTGCAATCCTTGAAGAACACGTATTATCCCTAGTTGACAGGTGAGGAAAATGGAGCATCAGGAGGGCACAGGAGTAGTGAGAAGAGAGGAATCTGAGGGCCCTGAAGACTTGCCCTTTCCCTCCTTCATAAGTTAGCAATGGGCCAGCTCAGCAGGCCCAGGTTGGTTCAAGGAAAGATCACAAGGCTACAGGATGCCACCTGGTCCACTCATTCTTCACCTTTGACCTTCCTCCTGCCACTCTGTCCCTTACCTATCCCTGCTGGCCCACACTGTATGCCTTAACATGCCAATGCCACTCCTGCCTCAGGGCCTTTGCACTTGCTATTCCTTCATCACTGAACAGTTTCTTCCAGCTATCTGGTCTCAACCCAAATGTTACCCTCTTGGAGAGGTCAGGCCTCCCCTCACTGCTGCATCATAGGGCAATACCCTACCCTCTCCGTATTCTCATTACCTTGCTTTATTTTTTCCTCAGTACTTATCACCATCTACTATATAATACATTTATTTGTTTGTCCTCTTCTCCCTTATCTCTACACTGATTTGCTTAATGCCCTTCCTGCTGGTCCTGTTTTTTAAATTAAAATTTTTTTTATCGTTTATTGTGTCTGATATCAACTGTCTCCAACCCAGTGTGGAATAAAAAGCAGTACATAAAGGAACTAGCTCATGATCACGTGAACCATTCATTAGACTAATCCTGCTAATATTTTTCTACCAAGATTTCCAAACAGCAAAGTGGAACAAACAGGCATGCCATCCCACCTCCTCGAGCTTTAGGGCAGGAGCCTGAAGCTGCCACTAAATTTCTTGGGGCGCCTGGGTGACTCAGTTGGTTAAGCGTCCAACTTCGGCTTGGATCATAATCTTGCAGCTTGTGAGTTTGAGCCCCGCGTTGGGCTCTGTGCTGACAGCTCAGAGCCTGGAGCCTGTTTTGGATTCTGTGTCTCCCTCTCTCTCTAACTCTCCTCATGCTCGGTCTCTCTCTCTCAAAAATAAATAAGCCTTAAAAACAAAAACAAAACCAAGAAAAAGAAGGAAGGTTTAGCTTATACTGGATATCTTCTTCTACCTTTTGAGTTTTGTACTGTGTCCACTTATCATTTTTTTTTCAAAGCCACTTTTTAAAAAAATTTTATTTAAGGAGAGCAAGCATGAGTGGTGGAGAGGGGCAGAGGGAGAGAGAAGAGAATTCCAAGCAGGCTCCATGCTCAGCGCAGATCCTGACGCAGGGCTCCATCCAACAACCTGAGCCAAAATCAAGAGTTAGACGCTCAACTTCCTGAGCCACCCAGGTGCTCCATAAATATTTAAATAGTAGCCGGCACATAGTAAGCACTATAGAAGTACAAGTTATTGCCACTAGTATTTGAAAATCATGTAAAATTATTTCGAGGGCAGGGAAGTTGGGAGGGAAGAGAGAGCAGAGCTCGGGCTGCGGGGGCGGGGTGGGGAGGCCCGGTCAGGGTGGAGGGGTTGGAGACGAGGCTGCAAGGAGAGCTACAGGGTGCTCCTGAGAGCTCAGGAGGGATGCAGGCCTCTCTCGTACAAGCTGGGGACGCACTCCCTGGCAAGATCCCAGGGCTTCCAGAATATTCCATGGAGCCAGAGGAACACTGCAGGGGAGACCACGAGACCTCATACATTCGGGCCTCTGAGAGAAGAAACTGAGTCCTTCAGAGGACACGACAGGATTAGCCTTGGGCTCCTCGAGGACGAGGTCCACATCCTCTGGGCTGGCTCAACGACTTCCCAGAGGGCTGCTGCTGGCCTTGTCATCTGGGCGATCAAGAGAGGGCCCAGGCCCAGGAGGCACTGTCTCTGACAAGCTTGCGGGGACAGCGTCCTGCACCAGCAAGGGTTCAAAGGAGTAGAAAACTAGGGCTTACTTACATGTATGTCTTTTCTGACCTTTTTTGTTCTCCCGGAGACTGGCCAATTTTGGAGCACTGGCCAACTTTAGCTTAGGTCAATGTCTAATCATTCTCGAGAAGGTACCCGGCCCCAGAAACCTGGGGAAGGGGGAAGAGACACTGCTTTGGTAATCCTATTTGCATTTGTAGGGGAGGACAGTCAAGGAAGGGGGCAGCTTCTGGCCTTGGGGAGGGATGGGACATGCAGCTGAGGCAGCAGCTAGGATGGTTTACGTGGAGCACCCCTGCCTCGGAGGATGCAGAATTTCAGCGAGAATTCTCACTTCACCCCTGTGCACGCACACCAGGACAGTTCGTAAATTGCAAGGACCCGCAGGTGTCAGGGGCGGTGGAGAAAGCTGGGCTCCAGAGAACATCTTGGGTCCCCCCTCAGCAAGGATGTCGTGCTGGGAACACTATTCAAAATCCTCCATGGAGGGGCGCCTGGGTGGCTCGGTTGGTTGAGTGTCCTACTTCCGGCTCAGGTCATGATCTCTCGGTCTGTGAGTTGGAGCCCCACATCGAGCTCGCTGCTGTCAGCGTAGAGCCCGCTTCGGATCCAATGTCCCCCCCCTCTCTCTGTCCCTCCCCTGTTCACACACACTCTCTTTCTCAAAAATAAATAAAACATTTAAAAAAAAAAAACAACCACCAAAATCCACCATGGAAGAGTTTACCTCCGCCATAATAGAAATGGAAACGAAAGCTATTCTAAAATACCATTTTTCACATAGGTTGGCAAAAGATCAGAAGTTTGATCACACACATTGTGTTGATCAGGGTGTAAGGAAGTGGGCTCTTTTTCCCTGGAGGGAGGGTAAAATGGCACAATGCCTGTGGGAGGGCATTTGGCAAATAGCTACCAACATGTCAGATGTATACTGTGGGCTAAGAACACCACCTCTAGGAAGTTCAATGACAGCAATCCCGGCAAAATGATATCATGCCATCGCAGCACTGGTTGTTGGAGATACTCTCAATTTCCCTAAATAAATGGTAATAAATTAGAAGGAGACACATAGTGGGACACTCTGCAGCCATAGAAACAAATAAGGAAGCTCTCTATGAACCAATATGGAATGAATTCCAAGAGATACTAAGTGTGTGTGTGGGGGGGACAAATGCAGAAAAGTGGACAGCGTGTGCAAGCATCTGTGTAAAGAAGGGAAAGACGCGTGTCTGGATTTGGTTGATGTGCATGGAGATTGCTGGAAGACACCTCAGATGCTGGAATTACAGGCTGCTGGTTGGGAGGGGGCCTGGTGTCCTGGAAGGCTCTCGTCCCCTTCAGGCCCCACCCAACCTGCGGCTCGTGGAGGCAGGCAGTGGTCAGGAGGGAGCAGGGCTTGAAGCCCATTTAGCCATTCCGGAGTTTGGGGGCCTTACCCTAGTTCTTTAACCTCTAAGCCTCTGTTTCCTCTTCTGGTAAGCAGCAAGAACGATGGTGCTATTAATAAATGATGTGAGGGGCGCCTGGGTGGCTTAGTGGGTTGAGCGTCCGACTTTCGCTTAGGTCATGATCTCGCGGTTCGTGGGTTCGAGCCCCGCGTCGGGCTCTGTGCTGACTGCCAGCTCAGAGCCTGGAGCCTGTTTCAGTCTGTGACTCCCTGTCTCTCTGACCCTCCCCTGCTCATGCTGTCTCTCTCTCTCTCCTAGAAATAAATAAAACATTGAAAAATTAAAAAAATTAAAAAAAAATAAATGAGGTGAGACTCGTGTAAGCAGGGAGAATAATTGTACCACCTCATCAGGCCAGTGGGAGGGTGCACAGACTAATCTAGGGGAAGAGCCTAGCATGGTGCCCGGCATGTAGCAGGTGCTCTGTTGATGGATTTGTCCCCCCAATACATCTTGGCTTCTCATTGGCACACTGACCATTACTCTTGTAAAACAGCAATGTACAGGACCCGTACAGGATCAAAATATCGAGACCAAGGAGGCCCTTAGGGTCCATCTTCAACCTTTGTTTCTACACTCAGTCTCATGACTCCCTCCTATGTAGTGATCTCTGTTCTCTCTGCCTGGAATGTCCTTCCTTCCTTTGCTTGGCTTGGCCAACTTTAAGGGTCAGCTCCCATGTCACCCTCTCCGGAAAGTCTCAGCCAGGAAGGCGTTTGTGATGCCAGAGCGCCTGCGGTGCCCCTCTGTGGGGTACCCTCACAGTATATAGTGATGCAATTCCTGATTCTGGCTGCTACCCACACACTTCCTCGCTTTAATAAAACGAACAGGAAAAGATACTCAAGTCCAGGCAAATAAAACGACAGCAAGACACAATCTCCCACCTCTTGGACTGGTGAACTAAACCCAACTGGTTTTGATACACAGGAAGTGGAATTGTAAGAGGTAGGCATGGAGGCGAGCGCGTAAATGGCCAGGACGCACGAGGCAACCGAGGACCCCTGTCCACATTTAGCAGGTGCGCTCGGCGAAAGGACATTCGCGCCAACCTGCTCCCTGCATCGGAGTGCAATAGTAGAAGGCTGGAGACTCCCTACGGGTCCATCCCCTGGGAGCTGGTTGAATAAGCTACCATAGAGCCTCACTATGAAACACCAGGCAAGCAAAAAAGAAGCAGAACAAAGAAACTTTTTATTACTGATATGGAACCATTGCCAAATGATACACTGAGAAGTGCCGGAGAAAGCATGGATAGTTTATATAGTATCCACCACAGGGTAAAAAGAGGAGAGAGCATATACAAGCAGTTGCCTTTGAAACACAGACTATTTCTGGAAGAATACGTAAGATAATATGGATACTAATATACTGGTAGCCTCCAGGGAAGAGAACTGGGAGTCTGGGAAACAGGGAAAGAAGGAGATGCTTAGTCGTGACTTAGATCTGTTTTCTGTCTTGTGAATTTTATCCTGTGTACATCTATTATCTATTCAAAAGTAAAGAAAATGACTTTTTTAGGAAAGAAGGAACAGCTAGCAATAAAATGGAGATGAGGCTAAGCCACTCATAACGGGAGGAGGTAAAATACCTTGAACGTGTCTTCAGAAGTGAGAATATCCATGGGAAATCTTTCCCCTCGGGCCGGCTGCCCCCTCAACTCGCACCTGGATGCTGGGAGCTGACGTTCAGAGAATTAAAAACTAGTTTCAGTATGAGCCTGAGTAAAACAGAAGAATGATAAACCCACAATCAGTGGTCGAAGAAAATTCATAAATGAATGCATAATGAAGTCCTAAGGGAATTGAATTAGAATTTGGGGCCCCAGGGCTCTTCCATGATGGCAAATAACGACTCAGCTCATGCCTCTGATACCCAGGGCACAATCAGTCCTAAGAGCCTCTGAGCCTCCTGACCCTCCTATTTCAAAGCCTCGCCGATCATCAGGACTCACTGGGTAAATGTGCTGGAGAAGGGCCCCTTCCACCCCCAGACCCCACCAGTTCAAATGACCCCTTTCCTGGGGCAGTAGTGGTATAGAGCAAACAGACACATTCCCAAACCCAACCCGGCAAGCTGGGGCACCAATGCCACTGAATAGACCTCTGCCAGATTTACAAAGGAGAAGACTGGTGACAGCTGACACCAAACCATCCTCAAAAGACATTAAGGGAGGGACATAAAAGCCTCGGGGGCTGTGCAGGGGCTGGCTGGCGGGGCTTTGGGGATCGCGGGTACTTGAGCCCCTAAGTGCTCTCAGGCAGGGTCACCTGCCCTCCCACCCTCCCTCAGGCCACCTGGGCTCTCCCCTGTCCCTTACTCACCTCTTCCAGAAGCTTCCCTTGCCAACCCCACCCCATCCGGGCGGTCATCAGCCCTCAAGTCTGACCCTCTCCTGACGTTCCTCCATCTTGAGAAGTGATGTTCAACAGGTTCTCGTGTTTCTTTGTCTCCCTGACTACAGTGTGAGCGCCCTGGGGGAAGGGAGTTCCTGGGTGTTTGTCTCCTACCTCCCTGGGTACAGGATTCCGACCGCAGGGAGAGATCATGCTCAGCCTTGTTGGCTCTCCTGGGGCCAGAACTAACATTCCCTCCAGTTTGGGGGGCGCTGCTATCCCTGCGGGTGAATCATGTTTGTTCAATGCCAAACTTTGCAACACTAATGGAAGACAAGGAGCCTCACGCCCCTCCAGTGCCCAGAGTGATCCTGACACTCGCTCTCTACCCATCTCTGAATAATACCCAAAGCCTTTACTCCGGCCCAGGAGGCCCATACACCTCCCCAGCCCCTCTCCCTTCTGCAGCACACACCCCTCACTGCCCTGGGGCACGCACACTCCTGCCTCAGAGCCTGTGTGTTGGCCTTTCCCTCTCCCTGGAATGCTTTTCCACTCGGCCTGGCCTCATGGAAGCATTCAGGGCCCTGCTCAGACAGCTTTCCTTCCCCCACTCTTTCTAAAACAACCATCCCTGAGGCGCCTGGGTGGCTCAGTCTGTTGAGTGTTGGGTTCAGGCTCAGGTCAGGATCTCGCAGTCTGGTGCGTGGGTTCGAGCCCCGCAGTGGGCTCACTGCTGTCAGCCCAGAGCCCGCTTCAGATCCCCACCTCTCTGTCCCTCCCCTGCTCACATGCGCGCTCTCTCTCAAAAATAAATAAAACGTGGAAAAAAAAACCCCCAAAACCCCAGCTACCTCTTCAGCACCTAGCTCTTCTCATCTGCTCCACCAGATCCACTCACCCTGCGCTGTGTGCCCTGGGAGGCTGGCCCTCTGGCTTCCACCTTCCATTGGGCAGCCTGCAAGTTTGGAGGGAGGGGCCTGGGGTCAGGCTATTAATTCCCCAGCGGGCGCCTTCCCCTGCAGGGCCGCTCTGTGTGTGATCTGGAACCCCAATGACCTAAGGCCTCAGCTCTTGGCAGAAGGAGCCACACAGGCCTCTCTCCGGGTTCTGGTAACTGCTCTCCCCCGCCCCTCCCCCATTCCGTGTTACCCAGGTTAGTGTTTCCCTGTCCTTCGCCCACAGTGTTGGAGGTAATCCCTCTGTGAAATCTTCCTGAAACCACCCACAGCACACTATCACTTCCCTTCCAGGCCCCCACGTCCCCCGCCCCCCCACCTTACCTGCCTCTTGTTTGTGAGCCGTCTGTCCCACAACTAGACCGTAATGTCAGAGGAGGTAGTGACTTTGCCAACTCTGTGCTGTGCCCCCATGTCTGTCTCCGCCCCCTGCACACAGTAGGTAGCTCAGTTAATGTTTGTTGAACAACTGCACAAGGAAAGGGAGGATCAATATAATCTGGAGGCAGGATGCGGAGGCTGGAAGGACAGGCAAGATTTTAGGAGGTGGTGGGCAGGAAAAGAGCACAAATGAAGACCCAGCGCACAGCAGGGGTGAGACCGGCCGCCTTTCTGCACAATCTCTAACGCTTTCAGGTTTGTTTCCTTCCCGCTGGAATGGATTCCGGGGGGGCAGGGGCCACGTCTCTCTTGTTCACTGTGGTATCTTTAGAGCCTGGCACAGTGCCTGGCATACACGCAAGGCCCTGGGTCCGCATTTGTTGAACGAACGAAAGAGGTACGAGTTATCCAAAAGACGCGATGAACTGGCATAGGACCTGGGAGGCCGGATGGGGCAGGCTGGACTTGGGGTGAGGGGCGGGGTAGGGAAGAGCTGCGAGTTGTCCCGCAGGGAGGGAGAGGGCTTGTAGGAAGGCCCGCAGGGGACGGCGGAGGCTGGGGGAGGGCAGGGAGGGACAGCATCAGACTGGCAAGGCGGGGAAGGGGTGGCAGAATTCTGTGACCGACCGGCTGCAGAGGGAAGAGCGAAGACTCCGGAGTGTTTAGCCACGCGATGGGCAGGATGACCGGATGCCGGGAAGGCCTGCGGCCTCGGCCCAAGGCAAGCCCATCTCCTTGTGAAAGCGGAGGAGTGTTGGGGGCCACCCACAGCTGGGTGGGTCAGGAGGAAGGGCCGGCAAAGGAAAGGGAAACCGAGAGGTAGAATAACAAGGAAAGGGCACTGATGTCACGGAAGCCAAGGGAACTCCTCTGAAGGAGGGGCCAGCCAACAAGGTCACACGTCAAGGTCAACGCTGGGCTGGACTTCACTGCGGGCCCCATCCTAGGGATGGCCCAGCAAGCAGTGAAAGGGGCAGTGAAAGGGGCCACAGGCGCTTCCCCCTAAGATCTCTCTCCTCATACCAGGAAATCCGTAGTCTCCTTAATAATCTGTTACAGATCCGTTTATTCATCAACTGATCAAAATCCTTCGTAAATATTGTTGTCCCTCTGTCTATTCATCAAGGAATGGACGAGAGCAGTGATTAGCAGGCTTAGCCTGCCTCACCGGCACCCTCTGTGCCACTGGTTGTTTCTAGCTCCCTCCTTCTCCCACCCGTGGGGATCCCTTCGCACAAAGTAGCGCTCAAGGCATTTGAGAAACAGAAGCGTGTATGGTCATGAAGGAAGAGCGAAAGGTAAAAAGCATCAGCCCGGGTGAGGGGAGAATGCTGGGCACAGACTTCAGCTCTGTGACTCAGCAGCCATGTGGACTGCATTGCCACTGACCTCCCTGGGCCTCCATGTCCTCACCTGAAAATGCAGACAGTAAGAAAATCTGTTATTGAAGTAACTGTGAGGAGTAAATGAGTAAATACATGTAAAACAGTGATCAGCAAGAGTTAAGTTCTCAGATAGTAGGGGTTTTTATTTTATTTTTTTTAATATGTATTTATTTTTTGAGAGAGAGAGAAAGAGAGAGCAAGAGCATGAGCAGGGGAGAGGCAGAGAGAAGGGGACACACAGAATCTGAAGCAGGCTTCAGGCTCGGAGCTGTCAGCACAGGGCCTGGCATGGGACTCGAACTCACGAACTGCGAGATCATGACCTGAGCCAAAGTCGGATGCTTAACCAACTGAGCCACTCAGGTTCCCCAGTATTAGTTTTTAAGCATAATTTTTAAAGCAACAGAAAAAAGAAAAATCTGGCAATGGTATAATATCATCATTTATAAGCCATAGTTACAGACATTCTCATCAGATCTTCCTGACAAGGTATCATAATTATCCCATTTTATAGAAACTGGTTTGGTAGTTTAGTGATTTGCCCCAGATTTCACAGCTGGTAAGTTGTGGGGCCATAAATACAAACGTCAGCAAGTTTTGTTTTACTGACTCACATGGCCGGCCTCTCAGAGCAGCTCTAGGATTCTAGAAAAACGAAGTTCAAGTCTGTCAGTTCCTTTTACGCTTGTTTCCCCGAGAAGGCCAGGCCAGTTTTGTTACTGGTTTCTGTTTTCACTGGTTACTGTTTAACGACCCCTTGGTCAGAAACAAAGGCAAGGGGCTTGCTGAGTATCCCTGCCCCCACCCAGACTGGGGCTGCCCACCCAGGAGGAAGGGGCATATTTCTCAGTGACCAGCAGACGGACTGGTGTACACTTATGAGACACTTAATTTTGATCTTGATTCAAGCACAATAACTATTAAAAACAAACAGAAGCATTTTTGAGACAACTGGAAAAATTTGAATATAAATTCAAATGAAATAACAAACTCACCATTCATTTGTTAAGAATGATATTGACATGGTGATTATTAAAAAAAAGTCTATGGGGCACCGAGCCTGGGTGGCTGAGTCAGTTAAGTGTCCAACTTTGATTCAGGTCATGATCTCACAGTTCTTGGGTTTGAGCCCAGCGTCGGGCTCTGTGCTGACAGCTCAGAGCCTGGAGCCTGCTTCAGATTCTGTGTCTCCCTCTCTCTCTGCCCCTCCCTTGCTCATGCTCTTTTTCTCAAAAATAAATAAACATTAAAAAAATTTAAAAAGTCTGTCAACCCACACAAATCTGCCCCAACACAAAAAACTAATTTTTGACTTATTTGTAAATGTAATTCAATGAAGGAAGGTAGCTTTTCAACAAAAGGTGCTGGATCAACTGGACATTTGATTTTTTTTAAATATTTTAAAAAAGTCTTTAAAAAATAAGATATGAGGTTTGAGTTCATTATTTAAAGACATAAAAATATTATTTTTCTTATTTAATATTTAAATACTATTTAAATAGAGATTTATAAATATAAAAATATATATTTATATACATATATTTTGTAGAAATAGCAGTGTTTTAATTAATTAAAAACATGTTTTTAAATGTTTATTTTGGAGCGAGACAGAGCATGAGTAGGGGAGGGCCAGAGAGAGAGGGAGACACAGAATCTGAAGCAGGCTCCAGGCTCTGAGCTGTCAGCACAGAGCCCAGTGCAGGGCTCGAACTCACAAACTGTGAGATCATGACCTGAGCCTAAGTCAGATGCTTAACGGACTGAGCCACCCGGGTGCCCCTAGAAATATCAGTATTTTATTTTGATATAAATAAAAATAAGTATATAAATATAATATATAAATATAAGTAAATGTAAATTTATAAAAATATATTTAATAGTATTTTATGTTATTTAAAGATTTAAAAAAATTAAGTTTTAAAAAAAATTTTTTTTTAATTTTTTTTATTTATTTCTAGGAGAGAGAGAGAGAGACAGAGTGAGCAGGGGAGGGTCAGAGAGAGAGAGAGTCACAGACTGAAACAGGCTCCAGGCTCTGAGCTGGCAGTCAGCACAGAGCCTGACGTAGCGCTCGAACCCACGAACCGCGAGATCATGACCTAAGTGAAAGTCGGACGCTTAACCGACTAAGCCACCCAGGCGCCCCAAATTAAGTTTTTTTAGAAGGCCTATCTCTTGTTTTATTTATTTATTCATTCATTCATTTATTCTCTTTTTTTAAACGTAATCTCTACACCCAACGTGGGGCTCAAACCCACAACCCTGAGATTGAGAGGTGTGTGTTCCCCCGACTGAACCAGTCAGGTGCCCCTAAACCTCACATCTTAGATAAAAATGTACTCAAAACAGATCAAGGACTAAAATGTAAAACATAAATCTATAAACATGTTACCAAAAAATAGAAGATTTTTGGGAACTAGGGCTTGGTGAGTAGTCTTTAGACCTGAAAAACTCAATATACCTAAAACCTAAAACCTTTTTATGCAAAAACCTAAAAATACCCATAAAGGAAAACACTGACAAATTGGTCTTCAGAATAAAAAACTCTGCTTTGCCGAAGAGCCTGTGGAGAGGACACAAAGGCAAAGCTATGACGTGGGAAAGTGCTTGCAAACCACACACCTGACAAAGTTCTCGTATCTAGAATCAGGCAATCTCAAAACGAAAGAGACAGTCCAACGAGATTGTTCAAATTCAATAGGCAAAAGACTCAAATGGATTCCACCAGGTAGTAAATAAGCACATCTAGCCGTTAGAAAAATACAATTTAAGGTCACAATGAGATATTATTATACACCCATCAGAATGGCTAAAGTTAACAAAAAAGAGTAACAGCAAATACTGGTGACGATGTGGAGAAACTGCATCACCCACACACTGCTAGGAGGACCGCAGGATGGCACAGCTACTCTGGGAAAGTTTCAGTTCTTCTTACCATTAAATGTGCCGTTACCACGGGACCCAGCGATTGCATTCTTGGATGTTTATTGCAGAGAAATGAAACTTATGTTTACCTAAAACCCTATACACAAATGTGCATAGCTGCTTTATTCACAATAGGCCCAAACTGGACACAAGTCTCAATGTTCCTCAAAGTGTGAATGGTTAAACAGACTGTGGTATATCCATATCAGGAAGTAGGACTCGGCAATAAAACCAAAGGAACTACCGATAACACACAACCTTGGATGGCTACGTTACATGCTGAGTGAAATTGAAAGGTTATAACTTTATGGGGCGCCTGGGTGGCTCAGTCGGTTGAGCGTCTGACTTCAGCTCAGGTCGTGATCTCATGGTTTGTGGGTTTGAGCCCTGTGTCAGGCTCTGTGCTGACAGCTAGCTTGGAGCCTGGAGGCTGCTTTGGATTCTGTGTCTCCCTGTCTCTCTGCCCCTCCTCTGCTCACGCTCTTTCTCTCTTGAAAAATAAACAAAAAAAGGCTATAACTTTATGATTCTATTTATATTAACAATCTTTTTTCCCCCCAGTAAACTCTATGCCGAATGTGGGGCTTGAACTCAGATAAAGAATTGCATGCTCTGACTGAGCCAGCCAGGTGCCCGCATTTATATATTAATAGTCTTTATATAAAATTATAAAGATGGAGACCAGAAGAGTGGCTGCCAGGGGTTAGGGATGGGGGAGAGGTGGGTGTGCTTATGGAGAAGCAGCATAATGCAAGTAGTGGTGTTGATGGAAATGTTCTATATCTTGACTGTGGTCATTGTTTTATGAACGTGCACATAACCAAGCCGCACAGAACTGCGCACACACACGACAAGGTAAAATCCGAATAAACTCTGTGGGTTGTTATACAAGATGCTACCGCTGGGTGGAACTGGACAAAGGGTACATGGGGCCTCCCTGAACACTTGTTTTATTTTTGAGATGGGGGGCAGGGGCAGAGAAAGAGGGAGACAGAGGATCTGAAACAGGCTCTGCGGTGACGACAGAGAACCTGATGTGGGGCTTGAACTCATGAACTGTGACATCTTGACCTGAGCCCAAGTCAGATGCTTAACCCACTGAGCCACCCAGGCACCCCTGAACGATTTTGTTCTTGCAACACCCTGCAGATCTCTAATTTTAAAAGTAGAAAGAAAAAAAAGGTCCTTCAGAGTGAGACGCATGATGACCTAGATGACACAGGTCTTGGGTTCGCTTTAAAAAAAAAACTCCAGGAAGCAAAAATAAAGGAAAAACAAGTGGGAGAAATCAATGAAACAGAATTGAAAAGACGTCGGTAGGGGCGCCTGGGTGGCTCAGTCAGTTAAGCATCCGACTTCGGCTCAGGTCATGATCTCACAGTTTGTGAGTTCGAGCCCCGCATCGGGCTCTGTGCTGACAGCT